AGTGTTAACAGCATAAATCTAAAGGAAAATTGGGTTCTAACTTCATATAAGAGGCACTGTGGTATCTCATAAAATTTAATTCAGAATTAGGGGATCCAATCTCTTCTCCTTATTACAGCAGAGGTACTGGTATACATCCAATACAGTTCCCTCCTTTGTTTTGGAACCAGTCTCTTACTCTTATTTTATTTTTCCATACACACATTGCTATAGTATGAGGTTTAAATATGTCATGTGTGGTATTTCTCTTTCTTGAACAGTCTCCCCATTATTATAGGCACTGTTCAGGAAAGAAAGGTTTTGGTTATGTTTATATATGTTGCATATACCACTCTTTAGCTGCCACTTGAAAGTTTGGATAATTGGTCCTCTGGATGTTTTTACTATGAAAGTTGTAGCTTTTATAGTTTAAAAGTCCAATTTCTTGACCAGAACAAGAAGATTGTTGCTAAAAGAACCTTTTGTTTAAGGAAAACTGTCTTATGATTTTAAAAATGCCCATGAGAAGTATGAGTTTTGGAATACAACTACTATCAAATGCTTTGTGACAGAACTCAAAAACTATCTGACAATAAATTAGAATCAAAAGTGATTGAATAATACTGAGCCAACACCCAAACAGGATTTTTAAAAAATGCCTCCAACATAACACAAACAAGACAGTAAGAAATACTTATTTACTATTCCAATCACATGTATTGTGAACATGTGGACATATTAATAATACATGTACACTTACCAGCTTTCTTTCTGAGTCTTTTGATAACATATGATTCTCCCCACCCCGTCTTCTGATTCTCCTAGATCTGTGTTGGTGTGGGAAAGACCAAAGAGAATGAAGGTTTCATCAAGGTGACAAGTGGCAAAAAACGTGGGCTGGTGCCTGCTGACACTCTGACAGAAATTTGAAGACGAAAGATGAAGAGCAAAATGAGAGAAGTATACACTAAAAAGAGGAAACCTACAAGGCGAGTGAAGCTGCCTTGTGTTCCTCTAGGCCACCCCCATATCGGAGCACCTGGGCAATCACTGTTTCACGGAATCTTCCCACTGGATCTTGTGAGCAGCGTTTGTGGAAGGGATGAAAGAAGGCTTGAGGGAGAACTGGCACGAGCATCGCTTGCTGTGTATCTTTATCCATGTGGGGCTGGAAATTCACTCCTGTTTGACTTAGTTTCTCATCACATTCACTGCAGTCTCTGTAAAGGTCTTCGGTGAGAGTTCTCTGTGTTGTGAGTGTGAGCAAGATTTCCTCTGTTGTAATTCACACCCCGTCTTCTTGTCTTTGGACCCTGGCAACAGATGCCAGTTAATAATTAACCAGTCTTAACTTATTGGGAGGGATCTATCTTAGTGTAAGGCTCTTGACCCCCTCCCATTTTCAGAAATACCCCAACAATGCTGTGTTGCATGCAAGCTACCCATGGCAATGCAAAGCCCTGCTCTGACTAAGAAGACCACATGGTGTGTTGGTTTCTGTGTTAGTTTTCTTTCTCTGTGTTTGTGTGACTGTATCACCTTCTGCCAAAAAGATGGTGTGGCCAAGCAATTATATACAGCCTTTTGTTGGTCACATACTGAGGAATCTTACTTTGGAGTCTCTTCTGCTTAATTTTTAGGAGGCGAAGTGGTTGGCATTGTATTGTCCCCTTTCCTGGCTCCTGGGGAAATTGTACAACTATGTTTGCTCCTCAGTGTGTAGTGGCTGACCCACCATATAACTGATGGGAACATCGATCATTTCTCAGGGACCTTCCTTAACCAGACGCTTTTCTGAACTAAACAGAGAATATTACTGCTTTGCTTATAGGAGTTCAAAGGCCCTGGTTACTTCAAATTTCCTTGTTTCCCAGCATGCTTTCAGCTATGTAATTTGCAGATATATTTTTGTAAAAAGGAAAGAAAGAAAGAAAGTGAAATGTCTATGATTTTAAAAGCGGTATTTAATATATTTGCCTAGACATCCCTAAAATGACTAAACTGGCATTTTTCTGACTTGATCTGCTGGTTAAGAAGAGATGCCTTGTTAAATCCTATGTTTCTAGGGCCCAGTTGAAATATATAACAGGCCATGTATATTGGCTTGTGAAAGATGGCACACTTGAAATACTTCTGTAAGAGAGATAGACCATTGATCACCATTCAACCAACAGTATATATAACAGATCCAGTACATTATTAAATACATTCAAACATGATGTACATGCATGGCTCATTTACATAGGTTAAGCCCTTATTTTCTTATATTGCATAATCAAGCCAGGGAAACAGAGTTCTTTCCTAGGTATTTACACTGTGACTCTAGCCTATTAATAACATAGCAATAGGTATTCCTTTCTTTCCCCAAAACTCCAGAAATATATCTTTTTATTTTGTTCTTTAAATTGCCCAAACAGTATACAAAATACAGAGTTAAGTTCTTAATTCATCAGGTATTTTCAAAATAAGACTTAAAAACATCTTCCTCTTCAAAATTTATCCCATGCTGCAAAGCAAGAAAAATTCAATTAGTATTTCTGTTTTAGTTGAGATCAGACAGTGGTGGGATTCAGCCAGTTCGCACCACTTCAGCAGAACCAGTAGCTAATTTTTTGTTGCCCAGGCCCAAAACAGACTTCCGGAAGCAGCATCCACACAGAGAACCGGTTGTTCACATATCTGAATCCCACCACCAAGATCAGAGTATTGTCCCAAGCATTTCCATATTATAAAGTCATAACTAAATTGGCCCGATTCACATCTATATCATGAAATTTCTCTAAGCAATAACTTGCAAATATGATAACCAGATTTCATAACCAGGAAGTTTATATCATTAGGAATGCTTTCAGCAAATGAGCTTATGCATTCAGTTGCCAAAAATTAAGCATAATAAAATCAAATAATGTAAATGCATATGTGTCAGACTCTAGCTAGGAAAATTTATTGCTTGCAGAGCTAATATAAAAACAATAAGGATTAAAATGTATTTAAATGTCAGTGTCACCAAGTGGAAACTGTACAGGAATAAAGAAGCACTTAATGCTTGTTGGACAATATGTGCTAAAGTATGGCACAATGTATCTTCCACCAAGTACATAGATTTATATTATCTTTTCTGGGTCAAGATCATGAAAATAGATGATATAATCAACAAGAGATTATCACGGTAACATTTTTCCAAAATAAATAATGCTTAGAGACCAACAATAGGAAAATCTATTTGAGAGATGGATTTTCCATTCTTATTTTGTTATGCATAGCTATGTTTGCACTATTTCCAAATTACTGTTGGATTGAAATTTTCCACTTTTTGTGCACTAATTTGGGGTTATCTAAAAACTAATCAAGCACTTGCTGAGTGCTTAACCACTGTCTCAGTAAACATGCAAATTTTCAACATGTACAGCAGCATTTTTGAAGAGTTTTGCTAGCTTGTCGGAATTTAAAAAATTAGATCCATAATCTTGATCATCATGTCAAAAGTGGTAGGAGGGAAGTACATAAGGCATAATATGATATCTTCCAACTGGAGTGTTTAGGTTCCCTACTGCATTAACTCATATAGCAGATGTAATGTCCTCATTGGTGATCCTTTATTCTTCTTTAACGGTTTTATTCAGTATGTTGGAGTTAACTGGAACATACTGAAGCACAAGATGTTTATTTCTTTTCTAGTTAAAAATAATATAATTACTTCTCAGTAAAGAACATCATTCTTGAAAACATCCCTGGTGTGGACTATAAAATTTATTAGAAAAATGGAATATGGGAGGAGGAAGAACATGTGGCCAAATACTACTGACCTTACTTGATTAGTACTCCTAATGAATAGGGTAATACAGTGGTGATCTGATCAAGAGTTCTCCAGAATAAAAGGCAGCAAGAAGCAAGGTGAGATACAGAAGATGTGAAGGGAGGGAAATATAATCAGAATTACATTATGAGAAAACATGTTTCTCTTGATAATGTCATACTGATTTTTGGAATTAAATCCAAAAGATGTGTTTATTTGCCCAGTGGATCTCCTGAGCTACCAATGCTGAATTTGTTTGTTTTTTGGGGGGGTAGTTTGTTTGTTTTTTTGTTGGCTAATTGTCACAGCAATAAGTGATTATACATCTAAAACAAACATAATACCATGTTAACATATTTTCCTTCTTAGGCAGGCTGTGTGGGAGACTGGTCACAAAAACATTCAACCTACATTTGAAATCTCCATTGTATAGAAAGCGTAGCGCTCTTGATTCCTTGCTGGAATCCCACTCATCTAAGCAATAATGTTCAATTCCTTTTTGGCCGCATGTAAACATATATGTTCATAAATGGCACCTTTGCATATGTTGAAGAATACATTGTGGTCAAAGGGGAGAAAATGGAAGAAATGTTCTGAATTAAATACTATAATGCACCAAACACTGTGATTGATAGGTTTTTCTTCTCCTGATTTGGTCAAAGTAATATTGGTTTATTGCCTTTTGGCAAGATAGTTAAAGGTATGGTGAAGAATTCGTAAAGCCAGAACCTTATACTTGAAGGTCAGCACTTTGCCTAAGCTGTTCTTATCAAACGTTTCTCTATGTCTTAACTGGGTACTTCATTCTTTAAATAACTGTTGTTTCACACTTGCTATCAATGCTATCATCATCAAGCAAATGAACTTTGCAGCCTATTCATATGGATATAATATTTAAAATATTTGATATGTTTTCACAGAACTGGTAGTGTTCTTGACCTGAATATATCAACGATCCAAGCTATTTAATACATATCTTGGAAATTTACTATTGGCAAGCTGCTTGCAAATTCTAGAGTCCATAAATATGCTTATTTGTCCAATATAGCAAGACATCCTGATCTGAAGAACTTGGATTACATGCACAGTGCTTATGCAACTAATTGGGATAGTAATAGTAAATCTGCCTTTACACAGTGAAAGTTAATGTGTGTGGTGAGATAGTGCTCTGCTAATAATCTCTATCTAATGTATTGTGTAAGAGAGAAAGATACAGATATAGAGTTTTTTTTTAATGTTTTACAGTATGTATAACAGGTTTACAGCTACTTCCCCAAAAGTTTATTCTTATATCCCTGAATGTGTGAACTCATGTGTTTTTGAATTTTAGGCTGTAAACCCTGAAGTTGGATTTTGCTTTGGCCTGTATTAAGGCATTTCATTGTCATCTGTACCATTTCGTTTAAGTTTCTTTGTGTGTTTAAGAAAATCAGTATAAAATAATTCTGTATTGTCATGTGTTGATCCTTCCACTTTGGGTATTTGAAGAGCAAAGAAAAGTACAGAATAAGGTTTCTTTGAAGAATATAATAGTTCTGAAATAAGGTGATGCTACGAAATAATTTTGTGACAAGGTGTGGCTCAGAGGTCTCTAGACTCCTTTTTCTGCAATATTGGTAAAATCTTCCTATGTGCTCCATACTGCTGTTGGTGCTGACCAGTTGCAGGAGCAGATATTCTTGCTGCCACAAATACTATATTCCTATGTTAACTTGCAGCATATAAGGAAAAATAACACTGAAATAGAAGAATATAATGGAATACTACCAAAGGGCAAGATGACATCACATTGATAAAAATAAAGATATCTATTATATTGGTGGTGCAAACTCAACTGCAATTTTTTTTTCAAGGTGATCTATCTTTTCAGACTCATTCTGCAGCTTGCTACATTTGTTTTTGTGGGGATGATATTAATAAAGGAAAGGGGGCAAATATTAATGAAGCTATTAACAAGAGTGAAAAATGCAAATAAGTGTTTCCCCTTTTGGTATACAACTCGTAATATAAAGATTCCATGGATGAAAATCTTAAAGGGGAAAACAAGAAGCTTGGGAAACTCTGAAAAATATGATCATAAAAGCCCAGTGCAATACCACTGAAAAAGAAAAACAAGAAATCCAAGAAGAGACAG